TTCGTAATACTATGACCCAGGATCGCCTTACAGCGTTGTCGATGCTGTCCATTGAAAAGGAATTTATTTCGACCATGGGAAATTTCAACGGGAAGGGGATCGACAAATTTGCTGCCAAGAAGGAGCGCAGGATCGAACTGACATATAAAAAATAGGTAAATTCGGATTTGCAGAACACCTGTTTTATTTTGCCACGAGCCGCCACTGCTTGCGTCCATCGCAAGTGACAGCTAGTATTTGCACGTAGTGATGATATAAAAGTGCAAGAATATGGTATGTACTCTTATTATTTACATGTTTTATGTAAAAACATGCTTATTGGACTGTTATATAAATTTTATTTTGAAAGTTGTTTTTGCTAGATTATTTTCCTACAAAATTAATTCATGTCGAGTTATAAACTTATAACTAAGCTGAGATAAATGTTATCTTAATGTAGAGAATGTCGAGATTAGGGGCATATAGGTTTCATCTGCATCTTTTTAGGTTTGTGAGGTGTCGTACAGAAAAAGAGGTGTTTTCCAAATCCAATTTTGTTGTTGTTTCAGGTAATTTTTTAAGTATTCTGCTTCGAGGAGTACTACTTTTTATATTTGGCACTCTAAGGAGGGTAGTGTTTTACGAAAGTTACCTGTTAAAATAAGACATATTATAGACGGGAAGATTTGCGGACAGAGAGACAGACTGACCGACGAACATGAGTGATATAGTTGTTCGTGATCCACCTGTCATATAACATCCAAAAAATATATATTAAAAAAGCAGTTACTTTTGATGGACAGTGAAAATTATGATATGGCTTCAACCATTCATTTTCCACTCCTTCTTATATTCTATTATTTGTTCAGTTATATTTGGAAATTACTTCTTCAACCAGACTATTTACATATACTAAGTGACATATAAATCGGAACACCCAGTTTAAATGGTTTTATTTTAATAAAATTTTGTATAAGTACTTAATGAAGCATAATAAGTAAATGATAAAAATTTCAAAATGATTGCACTGCTTTCAAGCCCTTTGACCTTTAATAATGTGTGGATGCACCCTGATGTGCTACGCATTCTCCAACGCGCCTAGGCATGCTTCTGATCAGGTGGTCAATGTCCTCCTGTGGTATCTCATTCCAGGCAACCACCAACTCCTCTCGAAGTGCTTCTAGAGTCTAAGGAGGACGTTGCAAATTGAGCAATCTCCTACCCATCATATCCCACACGTGCTCAATTGGGGATAAGTTGGGAGATCTTGGTGGCCATGGTAACAATGTGACATCATTATGTTGAAAGAAGTCCATTGTGACTCTTGCAATATGTGGTCGGGCATTATCTTGTTGGAAAGTTGGATCTGCCAGGGTGTCAAGATAGGGTAAAAGATGGGGTTCTAGAACTTCGTGGACATAACGCTGCGCGTTCATGTTACCTCTGATGAAGATTAAAGGTGACCTGGAACCCTAAGCTATAGCGCTCCAAACCATAACTCCAACAGTGTGATGAACATGTCTTTCAACAAAAAACTGTGGATTCCTCCTTTCACCACGTCGCCTTCTAACCCTGGCACGACCATCGTGCATGCCTAAACAAAATCGAGACTCGTCACTAAAGACAATACTGTTCCATTCCTGATCCCAGAGTGACCGTTGTCTGCACCACTCAAGGCGATTACGTCGGTGTTCTCGCGTTAAAGGGAGGACCCAGTGTGTCCGATATGAAAACAAGCCAAAACATCTCATTCGTCGGTAAACACTTCGCATGCCAATAGGTCTTCCGTGTTCTGCAAACCATTCATTTGCAATGGACCTGGTAGTGGAGAAACGGTCCCTTAAGGCCAATAATCTTAGGCGGCGATCTTCACGGTCTGTTGTTCTACGGCGGCGTCCAGTGCCCCTTGCTCTTTGCGTACGGCCTTCTCGAAGCCATGCCTGACAACACCTAACCACAGTGTCTACACTTCTTTGCACTCTAACTGCAATTGCCCGAAAAGAAAGTCCAGCTTCCCGAAGTCCCACTATACGGCCCCTATCAAACTCACTAAGTTGACGAAACCGTACAGGTCTCCGCACTCTAGGGATCGTAACCGATCGTAAAGGATGTCAAGAACCAAAATCCGCCAACGTTGATTCTTTACTGCGGCTGAAATATTCATTTTTAGAGCGTTAGTGAATTAAAAAAAAGCAGTATAAAAACCAGAATGTCCAACTGATAAGGCTGAAAATTTTTTCACTTGTTATTATTATATTATTATATCTCATTTTCAAAAAAAAACTCGCGATTACAATACTTTCTCGCCAGTAACCGTGGGAAGTAAAATACGTCTTCAATAATAGCTAGCTTCTGAAACTAGGTATGTAATGTACTATTTTTTATCGTCTTCATTCCATTTCCCCAACAAGTAATCTGCCAAAACATGGAAAACTGGAATCAACGATAAAAATATCTGTAACTCCCATTTACGTGGACTTTGCTGATTCAGTTATGTAAAATGGAAAAATGGGGTGTTTCTCACACCAAATTAATCCACACTACAGGGGGCTTTTTTTACGACTTGTCATCAAATAAAGATAAGGAAACTTCGGAGCGCGGCAGGAGTTGGGGTACAAATGGCTTTAACCAAACGAACTCTTTATCAGGGTGAAATCTATCTAATGATCATCATTGACTTGTTTATAGGCTGCTTGTACGAGTATCTATATAAATCGTCCGAAGAGCCAACGGTAACCTTTTTCAGTGCAATTGAATCTTTTTTGACAATATCTTTTATATACAGCGTGTTTCAGTTTATTGTTGCATAACTTTAAGATTTGATAGAACTTTTAAAATTAATGCATAAAGTCTATATAAACATGGGTCGAAACATGCGTGGCTTCCGAAATACAGGGTGTTTAAATTTACTTTCTAAAATATTTTTTTTTTAAATATTTCGAACAATATTTGATGTATAACAGTGAAAATTGGTATACAAGGGTTTTTTGGTACGACAAAACGAACCATGGGCATAGTTTTACTGTAGCCGCTAGAGGGTGCTCTCTACTGTACCTGTAGTGTATTAAAATGACCGACAATTTTTTCTTAGTGCAATTTTTTGCTTTTTGAATAAAAAAACTGATTCTTCTCTCTTTTCACCATAAAAAAGCTCTCTTGTGAATTTTCGTTATAGTCAGCCGTTTTTGAGATATTTCGATTTTTAAGGTTCGATGCATGCAAATGTTTATGAAATTGAAAGCAGAATAAGGTTAAACGTCAATTAGTTGACAGTTAGTTTTGTTGTCTGTTGAAACCTGAAACGTTTTTTTGCAATTGTGAATGCACGAAATTTAGTTTCTTTTACCTGTTTTTTTTGTAAGTTTTATAAGAATGCCATTTTTATTCTCCAATCAGGAGTTAGCGGATATTCATTTTGTGTATGGCTTTGTAAATGGAAACGCAGCACAAGCAGCCAGAGAATACGCACGAAGATTTCCAAACAGACGACATCCAACTCGCTCAGTATTTGTAAGAGTGCATCGCCAAATAATTGAAAATGGTTTTGGAAATCTCCAAAGGGATCAAAACATAAATGTTCGTCAGTGCAGATTTACCCGTATGATTCTGCGTGAGTCTGATAGAGATCCGACCACAAGTGTTAGGAGAGTTTCTGGTGCCTTGAGAATTTCAGCAAGCCATGTTCACCGTGTTCTTAGAAATGACCATAGACGTCCTTACCAGTTGCAACCTGTGCAAGGACTACAGCCAGGGGATGGAGAACGAAGAATCACATTTTGTCAGTGGATTCTTGATAGAACTGATAATAATAGGGAGTTTTCAAGTAACGTTTTATGGACCGATGAGTCATGCTTCACTAGACGTGGAGTGGTAAATTTTCATAATCAACATATTTGGTCGCATGAAAATCCGCGTGCAGTTCGGGAAAGAAATTTTCAGCACGAATTTAGTGTGAACGTGTGGATTGGTATCTACCGTAATCGACTATTTGGACCCTACCTTTGCCTGCAAGGTTAAATGCTGCGACCTTCTTGGAATTTTTAAAGGCTGAACATGCAAATATGTGGGATGATGTTATGTTAGATTTAAGAAGATTGGCCTGGTTCCAGCTTGATGGTTGTCCAGCTCATTATTCGAGAATAGTTAGAAACTGGCTGGACGAGAATTATCCAGAAAGATGGATCGGCCGTGGAGGACCAGTCGCCTGGCCTCCACGATCCCCTGACCTAAATTCATTAGATTTCTTTGTGTGGGGATTTCTAAAAGAAAAAGTATACCAGACTCCCGTAACCACAAGAGATATGCTAATAGACAGAATCAGGAATGCATGTGATGAAATAAGGCCTTATTTGAATAATGCTATACCACGTTCGATCATTCGTAGATGTGAATTGTGTATTGAACAATTGGGTTTACATTTCGAGCAACTACTTTAGATTTTGTATGTTTGTCCTAATAGCATTTTAGTTGTAAATAATTAATTTAATTTGTTAAAAATAATATTTGAAAATTAAACAAATTAATATCCTGTTTTTTGTGTTTATTTGGAGTTAGGAATTATTGCTGTGTTCAAAAACACAATCTAAACGATCATCTTAATTACTTGTAATGCCCAAATCGAAAATGTAAAAAAAATATTATTTCCCCATAAATAATTAAAAATGCATCGAACCTTAAAAATCGAAATATCTCAAAAACGGCTAACTATAACGAAAACTCATAGGATAGCTTTTTTATGCAGAAAAGTGCGAGAAATCGCACTGGCAGCGCTGCATCGACGCAGAAGGAGCCTATTTTGAAAGTTTTTAAAGAATTGTAACGATTGGCTCAATAAATTTTTTTTAAATGACTCAGTCCTATTATTTTCCGGACAAACCCAGTATAACTTTTGCGGGCTGATTATTATTATTATAAAATGCAATACGTATTACACTATTTACGCTTCTTGTCAGCTTAGTGTAACTCACATTCTTGTTACACAAGATGAAGCCTAATTTGGATTCACAAGACTGGCAAATTACTTATGATTCCAGGTACCCAACGGTTCTGCGACGACATCCGTGACATGATCGGCTTTGCTCCGGGGTACTACTGGCGTTTCTGTTGGAAGTTCGCGGCCCCCGCTTTCCTTCTCTTCATCATCGTATATGGCCTTTTGGGCTATGAGCCTCTTACCTACGAGAAGTACGTGTATCCCAGTTGGGCCAACGCGCTAGGATGGGCCATCACTGGGTCATCCGTCATAATGATACCGGGGGTTGCCTTGTATATGTTTCTTACTACCAGGGGGTCATGCTTGAAGGTAAGTCCTTTTTTACAACTCAAAAGAATTTAATGTTTCATAGATTTAGCGGTATGATTCGAAGATAGCAAGCGAAGATGTTTTTTTATTTAATTTTATATAATTCAAATTTGATCCTCACCAGTGGAAGTTAAGCTGCGTATTTAGGTAACTAACAAAACGCCGCTTGGAAAGCAACGAAATTCTAAGTACCTCCGAAGAGAGACAGAAAAAAAGAATTTTCCCGAAATCGTGTTAAGGTTTTCCTGACTTTGTAATGACATATTAAAATAAATTGCAAATAAACATTCACAGCATAATCAGAATTTCATTATGATGTATTGTCTATTGTCCGCCAACATCAACTTCATTTTTTCTTGCGGAATTTTGCAGATGAATAGAGTTTTTAATTCTGATTAAAAAACATGAAAAACGTGTCATACATAGACATTGCCAAACCTTAGTTGTTTCTAAAAACAGAATTTCCTATACTACAACTATTTAAAACGGTAATGACTCATACGCGTGATCAACACGTGATCAGAGCTCGATCCCGGCTTCCTTCCAGTACAGCCGTATAGCGTACGACATATGTCGTTTCTGTGGCTTTGCGGTGGTCAACAGCACAGACAGAGATGGAAATAATGGCTGATTTCTCCGCCGGTAGAACCAATGAAATCAAAGACGCGCCTCGACCGGCAGACTCATAGGCGTCGGCAACGCATTGGAACGTGTTTCGTTGAGCGATCGCATATTGTGTGTTTTTATAAGAATTGTTGTGTGATTGTTATTGTTGTGGTTTCTGTGGTTACTGTTTTGGTTATACTTAACCATGGAGAGTACAAATGGCACGAGTGGAAGTACTGAAAGCCAGGGAACAAGTAGACGGCTTCGTAAAGCACTGAAGAGGGACGCGAAAGAAATCGTGCTCAACGTATTCAATTATCTGAACAGAACTATGTCGCAGGGAGATGCACTCGCGCGTTGTGAAAGTATGACAGGCGTTCCAGAGTGGACCATTCGCAGGGTGGTGCATGAAAAGAAGAAAACTGGAGCTACTACTGATTAAAAGTTTAATTTGAAGCGACGAAAGGCCGTTAAATTGGATGACGATAGCAAAATGGCGTTAAGGCGAACCGTACATTCATTCTTCTTTAGGAATGAGATACCAACCCTCAAGGCTGTACATGCAGCGATCAAGGAAAATGAAATTATACCCCAAATGAGCGTCGAGGTGATGAGGAAATCCCTGTTCGAAATTAATTTTCGTTACGAAACGCGTAATCGGAAGTCAGTATTGATAGAGAGACCTGAAATAGTCGCCAAGCGTCGAAAATACCTACGCGAAATGATTGAATATAGGCGACAAAGCAGAAAAATCTATTATTTGGACGAGACATGGGTAAATGCAGGTCACACAGTTAAAAAAACCTGGATAGACAAAAACGTAGTGAGTAACCGACAAGCAAGCATTGAAGGTTTGTCAGCAGGTCTTCGTGGACCGTCAGGGAAAGGTCAAAGACTGATCGTAACTCATATTGGTAGCGATAGTGGCTTTTTAGAAGAGTGTGACTTGATTTTCGTCTCTAAGAAAGGAGATGATTACCATGACGAAATGAATGCCAGCTGCTTCGAGAGCTGGTTTCAAGGGGTGCTTCAGCGAGTTGAGCCCAACTTTGTGATCGTCATGGATAATGCTTCCTACCATAGTCGTCGAGCCGAACGTGTACCGACTATGGGATCTCGAAAAAGTGACATGCAGCAATGGTTGCGCGAAAAAGGAATCCCGTTTGACGATTCATGTGTGAAAGCGGAATTGTATGAAAAAATTAAACAGCACAAACCTGCAAACATTAGTTACGTGACTGATGAGATGGCCCGTCAATGTGGTAACACTGTGCTGCGGTTACCGCCCTACCACTGTGAACTGAACCCTATAGAGCTCATCTGGGCACAAGTGAAGGGTTATATTGCGCGCCATAACACAAGCTTCAAATTACCAGACGTTACGGTTTTACTTGAGACTTCCATACAGCTAGTAACGCCCGAAGCTTGGCAGAATGCTATCCGTCATGTTGTGAAGGAAGAAACAAAAATGTGGCAGCTTGACCACCACATCGACACCATCATAGAGCCAGTTATAGTCAATTTCAACGAAAGCGATAGCGACAGTTTATTACTGTCAGATGTAAGTGGAAGCGACGATGAATAAAGGTAATTCCCAAATTTTTGACTTACAATATGTTTCAAACCACTCTTTATTAAGCATGTGACAAATCTAGTTCACCCATGTTAAACATTCATACCCCGCCTATGAACAGCCGACTACTGGTAGTTAAGTGATGTTCACGTGAACATCGATGAGTCATTACAGTTTTAGATAGTTATAGTATAGTTAGGAATTGAAATTCTCAGATAGTCACTTGTTTCGTATACCAGATTTATCAACATATCAACAAATCATTTGTATATTTCCTGCCTTGATTTGAGATACGGCTTCGAAATAAGTTGCATGTTGTCATTGCAACTTTTTCCGACTTCAATCGTCAATTTTGTTTTTTCATATGGACGCTATACGGGAATTTTGAACACTTAAATAGTGCCAAGAATAATATTACTTCAATTGAATTTGTCGTGACATAAATAAATGTATTATATTCATAACTAAATGCAGAATAAAAAATTGTATTCGATTGCGCAAAGTTTCAATAGGTCCATAAGAAAACAAAAACAAAACATCTGAAGATGGAGATCAAAAGCAGAAACGTCTTATTGAAAATTTGACTATGTCCTCTTGTAGAGGGGAAAGTGGCAATGTAGTAGGGTCAAGTGGTGCAAAAATGAGACAGCCGAAATTTCGGAGACATTCCATTTTTCCCAATGCAAAAAAACAATAATATTGTAAAAAATACGTTAAAATTACTTCCACATATATACAATTGAAATATGTAATGAATAATGAATAAACGTAAACACAAACATCGAGAAAAAAACTATCGCTTCTGATTGTGCATTTTCCTTAAAAAATCATTTAAATTGTATTTACAAACTTTTCCTGTTGCGCCATTGTACGTGATCGTAGAGACTCGGCAAGTATCGCGTTTTCAAAATAACAAATGCGGCTATGATATTCCATATCGAATTTAGTGTATTTTTATTTGTTGGTAAGCAGACACGTCGTGAATAACAGGTGCAAAGACGAGACACCACAAAGTTTAAAAACAAGACACCTGCCAGGTAAAAACAAGACAGCTTTTATACCTTTGATAATAATGCCGAAGGTTTACGTTCCCAAAAAGCGCCCCTACGACAAAAAGAACATGGAAACAGCCCTAAAACTAATTAGATAATGGCACTTTATCTCTTAGAAATGCAGCTAAACAGTTTAAAATTGACAAATCTGCTCTTTCGAGAAGACGAACTCGTTCACTTGGTAAACAGGGAAGAAAAACTTCTTTAAACAAAGAAGTGGAAGTAGACTTAAATAATAAGATTATGGCACAATGGGGTTGTTCTTATTAAACCAGAGATACAAGCAATAGTTCAAACCTATGTACAAGAAAACCACCTTACTACCCAGTTTAAGGAAGGAAAGCCCGGGAAAGATTGGTTTAAAAATTTTTGTAAGCGCAAAAGTCAAAAAAAACGCAAAAACGCAAGTTTACTACGTGGCACAGATCCTTAAAGTTTTTGAGAGCGATGTAGAAGTAAAATATCTGAGGCGCAAAGGATTTAAATTTATTTTTCCGGCCATTGAGGAAAAGTACTTCATCGACAAAAGTGACATAGAAATGAAACTTCCCCAGTCAGAAATAGAAAGTAAGACCTGTCGTATCTCTGAGCAATATTGGTTTCCTATCGACTTTGAAAAATGTCGTTCAATAATATGTAGTACAAAATACGTTAGAATGTTTTCTACTTTAGCTCTTAAAATCCTATTGAAAATCTTGTTTTACCCCTTTTTTGAATTAGGTATGGTTTATTTAACTTGTTTTTCGATTTGTTTTCTTTTTAGTTTAATAAACATAGTTTTGTATTTAATTATGTGAGTTTTCTTTAAGAACGTTGTCACAATTTAAAACCTATCTTATTTGACTTACTAAACGCTTTAAAACCCTTGCAGTGTGTCTCGTTTTTATTCCCCAGGGTCTCATATTTTGCCACACTGATGAAAAATGACTAAAAGGCCAGAAAATACAGTGTCTTGTTTTTAGTCTCATTTTTAGCCTAAATAGTGGTTAAAAACGAGACACGGCTTTTTAACAAAAACGCCTTTCATTATGAATATTATGAACTTTTTTAACGTGAGGTATATTACATGGCTTTCTATATACAGGGCAATATAACAAAGCCTTAAAGTCCGGTTTTTTGTTGACAAAAAATTAAAAGATTTAAAAATCGTCTCGTTTTTGCACCACTTGACCCTATGCAATTTATTTTAAAATACCATTTCAAATAAAACCGGGAGATAAACAACAATTTTTCAATAAACTTACCCCTCTTTTAAGCTTAGTAGAACTATTTTTAGGTGGTTGTGGTTACCTTTTTCCAGGAAGAATTATATCGATTTTTGTTACAAAATATAGCGAATCTGTGAGAATCTGTTTGACTCTGTTTTTTTTGGGCAAAGCTTTAAAACGTGATGTTTTTCCCAGCGTTTAACTTTTAAGCTTTGTAGAACTATTTTTAGTTGGTTGTGGGTACCTCTTTCCAGGAAGAATTATATCGATTTTTGTTACAAAATATAACGAATCCGTCAGAATCTGCTTGACTCTGTTTTTTGGGGTAAACCTTTAAAACGTGATGTTTTTTCCAGCGTTTAACTTTTAAACTGTGTACAACTATTTTTAGTTGGTTGTGGGTACCTGTTTCCAGGAAGAATTATATCGATTTTTGTTACAAGATATAGCGAATCCGTCAGAATCTGTTTGACTCTGTTTTTTTGGGGTAAACCTTTAAAACGTGACGTTTTTTCCAGCATTTAACTTTTAAGCTTTGTAGAACTGTTTTTAGTTGGTTGTGGGTACCTCTTTCCAGGAAGAATTATATCGATTTTTGTTACAAGATATAGCGAATCCGTCAGAATCTGTTTGACTCTGTTTTTTTGGGCAAAGCTTTAAAACGTGATGTTTTTTCCAGCGTTTAACTTTTAAGCTTTGTACCACTATTTTTAGTTGGTTGTGACTACCTCTTTCCAGGAAGAATTATATCGATTTTTGTTACAAAATATAACGAATCCGTCAGAATCTGCTTCACTGTTTTTTGGGATAAACCTTCAAAACTTGACGGTATTTTGCAGCGTTTACCCCTCGACGATTAAGCTTTGTAGAACTATTTTTAGGTGGCTGTGATTACCTCTTTACAGGAAGAATTATATCAATTTCTGTTACAAAATTTAACGAATCCATGAGAATCTAATTGACTCTGTTTTTTTTGGATGAACCTTTAAAACGTGTTGTTTTTTGCAGCGTTCATCGCTCGACAAATTTTTAAGCTTTGTAGAACTATTTTCACGTGGTTGTGATTATCTCTTTCCAGGAAGGATTATATCGATTTTTATTACAAAATATAGCGAATCCGTGAGATTCTGTTTTTTTGTGTAAAGCTTTAAAATGTGATGTGTTTTGCAGCGTTTACCCCTCGACGAACTTTTAAGCTTTGTAAAACTGCTCTTAGGTGGTTGTGATTACCTGTTTCTGGGAAGGATTACGAGGGATGTCTTTTAAGTTTTGTATATGGAAACAAAACAACACGGTAGGTAGTTTTAAATGACATGTCTATCTTCAATGATGAGTTTGCGCACAGCATCGACGTTTTCCTGGGTGACTGCCGCCCTGGGATCGTCGCTAAGACTCACCCGTCCACGTTTGAATTCTCCATACCGACGGGAAATTGTCGACTGACGTGGCGCTTCGTTCCCGAATACAGACAGTAACTCAGCAAGGCATTCTTGTTGCGATAATTGTCTTTGAAAGTTGTAATAAATTATGGCGCGAAAATGTTCTCGGTTGAGTTCCATTTTTCTAATGACTTGGTGATACTTAAAAATTCACTATAGTGAGAACACTGAACATTGTTGTGAAACTTTGAATTTAAGTTTACTAAAGAGTGAGGTTAAGATTCAGTACTGACGTTCGATCCGCGCGACCTATGTTTCTATATGTAAAACTTAAAAGACATCCCTCGTATATCGATTTTTGTTACAGAATTTAGTGAATCCATGAGAATCAACTATTTGGGTAAAGCTTAAAACGCGATGTTTTTGCAGCGTTTGAAAATCCTGACCACCCCTTACCGCGATTCTCACATGTCCGGAGTTCCAACGGACACCCAGCAACAATCCAACGGGCAGATCGTCCAGTCAGAGAGCCTTCAAGTCAGATTGGCCACCACGCCAGATGACGCTAGGGACACTAGGCCGGTTGACGTCTGAGACGGGTGCAGGACTAAGTTTAAGGAGTATTATGTGTAAGCTTTTATATGAAAATCTTCGAAAGGTCGATGGATCTAATTATGCTTATTATTAGACGAGGTTTCATCCAAAAGAAGGCTCACAGGAAGCTCCAGCCACACTGGAAAGTGCGAGATGAAATCCGGCAACACCGCTGCGCGCAGCTGTTTCAGCACTCTTGATTTCCCCGGACGCGCTACGCTACTAGAGATGGGCGGTTATCCATAAAAAAACGTGTTAACCAATAATTTTAAACCGCAGCAAATTTAACCGTTTATATAAATAACCTTTATTTTTGTGCATCAACAATTTAAAGTATCATTGACCATGTCTACACCGTGCCTAGATAGCGCATAGCGCACGGTGTAGACGTGCAGAGAGCGGCATTTATGTACAGACTTACGACTATCCAAGTTATTGAATGATAAATGTAAATGCGGGAACTGTGAAGTTGACATCTGTCAAACGTCAAGTCTTGTCAAAAGCCGTCGCATAAAAAGGCGTTTTGTGATCACAGAACATCCATTAGGACCTAGAACTGTTCCAAAGCGGTTACGGCGCATATGAGGCAGATCGTTGGTGAAGAGGTCAAGGACTACAAAAACAACACAGCCGTGATATTCACTACGCCAATATTTACTGAGATTTGTATAGATAGAAAAAGAAAAACCTTCTTTCCGGTTATTGCATTTATTAACCGATAACCGGGTACATTATGAAATAATCGGTAAAAACCAGATAATTAATTTAGAAAGACCCTTTATTCAATTGACCTATTATTTGTTTCCATCCCTACTCGCTATGTCGCTTCGGTCCGATATGGAGTTTAGACGGAAATCAACGATGAAGAACGGAATGGACGACTGTCAGTCTTACAGGCGGTTAACGAGATGGTCCAACACGAAGTGCTTCAAAACAAGACGATCACCTTCTGTGAACGTGTTGCTCAGATTTCTGGGAGTCCACGGACGGTGATCTCCACTTCCTGTTAGATCATTTTGTAATAAATTCATCTATTTCGGGCTTTTGCCCCTTTAGCAATACAACCTGATTTCAGGATGATTCACTTAATTCAGTTTAAAACTGTATATTGATAGGTAGTGCAAGGTACCTCGGTCATTCCTCTGCATAGCGCAGCATTTCCGGTGAATTATATTAAAGTTTGGCAAACGGATCTGCAACATCGGGGTATCGGTGAGGGGAAAGCAAAACATGGCTGGTTTCATTCATAAAATGCCAGCGGCGTGCGGTATTTTATAAAAGTTTGGGATTATTTCATAATTGGTTTAAATTTAGTAAACTATACGTTTATGTTTCACTTTAAATTTGGGGAGTATCTCAATAAGCCCACAATGATATGGAGCATTGTCCATAATAATAAATAAAGTCTCGGGTAAACTCAAAAATAGCTGTATCTCTACAATCTACACCATGTAAAAAAACACTTGAGTTTGTTTCTACACTTCAACAAACGGAAAAATGTCTACTCACTTCCCAAATTGCCACAATTCAAAAAATCATGATAACTGCGCGATTTAAAACCTAAATCAAGCTAGCGTTTTTGTCAAAGCCGTAAATAAAATATATTTTTCAAATACAAATAGATACTTAACGTGGTTTTTTACCTTGAGAATATATATATATGTATATATATATATATATATATTATACATTCGTGATCTTATAATATGCTCATTTACTTTAAAAAGTGCCACAAGCCGAAATATGACCAGAATTAATTTTTATTTTATAATCCGCATCTTTCTGGATTCCTATTGTTGCAATTTTGGACTGTTGATGTGGATATTTCTAGAGCATCGGTGTCGCTTAAGTAGAAACAAAGAACTTTAAACACATTTCATATCCGTTTAACTTATAACCTCTGTAATAAATAATACTTACATTATACAGCATTTCAAAATTACATTTCACCTATTGAATTAGCATTGGTGTTCGTCAACTTCATCATTATCATCATCGTCACTGTCGTCATCAGTTTCGCTGTCGTCATCTTGCCCTATAGTTATTATAACTGGTTCCATTTCCTCCATAAATTGATCATTTTCCCAAAATTTATCTTCAATGTCCCTAGCATGTTGACAAAATTTCTGCCAATCATTAATGGATATTAAGGACATCGCTTCCTGAGTAACTTCTTTCAGTGCGGTTAAACTGAAGTTTCCAGTGGTATTGCGGCTTCTTATATGAAATTTAAGCTTTGCCCAAGCTAATTCTATTGGGTTTAGCTCGCATAAATAAGGAGGTGTTCTTAGAGGAGTATGTCCATGTGATCTTATGATCCGATCAACTACATAATTTTTTTGGTTGTCAGGGGGCTTATGAAGTAAGACCAGATCGAACAAGTCAAATTTTCTGGCAGTTGCCTCATGATTTATGCCTATATAATATTTTATTGTATAGTTTGATATGTACATGCATGTTTTGAGTCATAAGTACCTTTCTTTGTCAACCAGGCCATTATATCTTTTTTCGAAGATGATTTTGTCGGGGTTTTATCTTCCTGGACGGAATGATATGGAGCATTGTCAAATACTATAACCGAATTGGCAGGTATATTCGGGAGGAGTTTTTCTGTGAGCCAGCGTGTGAAATTTTCCCGATTCATCTGACCGTGGTAATCGCCTGTAGCTAATCCCGCCTTAAATATCAAACAGGCATTGTCAACAAATCCATTTTCTGAACCTGCATGCACTATAATGAGTCGACCTAAAATATACAAGACGATTATATAATATGTTACAAATCAGAGTTAAATTTAACATATATATAGCATTTTTGCTTACCTGTAGAACCTATACTGCTTATTACACCAGAAACAGTTTCGCTCTGCCAGCATTTTTTGAAAGTCAAGTCATTGTCCACCCAGGTTTCGTCCAAATAAACTATATTGCGCCCTTCTTCACGATATCTACGTATTTCACGGATGTATTTGTACCTCCATTGCAATATATTGGGCCTCTCCATCAAAACTTTTCTTTTATTTTGACATTTGCGCCAAAAAAAACCATTTGATTTTAATAAACTCCTGAGAGTTTTCCTAGAATAGGGGAAATTTGAGTCTTCTCGCAACTTTTGTAATAACTTCCTAGTTGTCGGGACAACTTTATATTCAAGATAAAATCTGTTTATCAAATGTCTAATAATCTGAAAATCAAAATCTTCATCTTTCTCAACAAGAGACTGACGCGGTCTTTTTTTTCCGGGACTGGATAACATTTTATTCGGGTTATTTTCTAGTCTTTCTTTATCTTCGTTATGAATTTTCCTAACAGAAGATACTCCGACTCCGGTATAAAGGGACACCCTATCAAGCTTACGTTTAAGCGGCAACTTGAGGGAATTGTTTGCCGCTTCCTCATCGCAAACCCTATAAATAATCATCAGAATGTTAGCTTAGCATTTCCTTGTTTTTTATTTATATTCAGACTCAGTCGTCAAAAACTGCAATTATTGCATATTATTATTACTAACCTATAAACATTCGCAATCACTTCTCTTGTTTGGCTATGAAGCGTCTTTCCGCGAGTAAATTGGTTCATTTTAAAAAAATAATACTAAAACGAATAACAATATCAAATACAAAAACACTAAACTATTCAAAAACACACAGCACTAAACATACAAACTTAATAGAACAATAAATAGTTAACAATAATAGTTGTAAAACTCCTACACGGATAAAACCTACGCCACTGGACTTTTCAATAGTATGGATATTCTAAGAAAGGAGCAAAAAATTGTCTGGGACGCTACCCAATAGGGAGTCGAATTTTCTCATGGCGACAAAACATGTGAGGATATCCGCCAATCAGATTCGTTTAGGCGGTGTCCAATATACCTTTCGGGTGGTTGTTGCCAGCTCAACCGATGTAGATAAGATCTTTGGAAAAATGTTTACTTATAATACGATTCAGTAGTAAAAAATAGTTAGTAAATACAAATAGAGCTAACAACCCATTAATATTCTCAGTATTTTGAATTAATATTTTTTGGAATTGTGAAAAATCGATTTTCAAATCATTGAAATTACTTTTATTATTATTATTGCTTTTTTGTAGTTAAATTTGGCAATATCGAATATTTTCGGTCGCATTCCTTTCGCTGTTGCAGATCCGTTTGCCAAACTATACTTGTAATACCTAACAAGTTTCTAATAAGAATATATTATTCAGCATGAACTTACGGTTCTACAATCTCAATAACCGCCTCTGAGATTGGCATTCTTCCAATTCGTTCTTCATCGTCGACTTCCTACTGATCGGCACTAAGCTCCTTGCATCACTGTTGCACGGACATATACTTACGCCATACACCTGTCATCTAACGATATCTACGGATGAAGTCCCATTGGCGTGGAAAGCGTTAGTTGTTGAACTAATCTAATCTCGCGCTTGGCGGATCAAAAATGGTAGCCTCCATATCGGACGACTGCTGAGCAGCGAAGCGCGGCCGGGGGAATCCAGAGTGGGGAACCAGTAGCGCGCAGCGTTGCCAGACGTACGACAATTTAAAGTTCTGTACGATGTACGATACTACGTGTACGATAATCGCTGAATGTACGATAATTTTGCGGACGAGTTTTTTTACCCTCAAATGTGTTACCCCCACCTGCTTTTCAACCGTCGCCAAGAGGCTTGATGAGCAAGCGCCGCTTGCTCTGCAGTTGAGGTGTCCAGAGTTACAGCAGTCAAGTCACATGAGGAAAAATGTCGAAGAAACATAAAAAACATTTTTGATGGGAATTTTTTAGTTACTGAAAATTTTCGTATTTGTTGTCAATTGAAGATAATTCTGCTGCATTAATTTATAAATATACCAATCTGTAAATAAAAAAAAACGAATGGGGGAAAGATTAATGGACTGGTTTATGCAAAGTTTTTTGATTCTTTAAGGGATTAAAATGAAATAAAACAAACTTTGACGTCAAATATATTATTTTTTTGTTAAGTTGCTGAATGAAATAGACTAATAAATGGTTTGATTCAACTCTTGATACAAACTTAAAATATTTTCATTTATTCATCTTCACTGAATTCTGATCCGGAAGTTTCTTTATCATCTGGCGAAAAGCTCTGGTGATATTTTCTGATTTCATCATAGAACCACTGATTACATTGTGGCACATAGTTTTTAGCCAGAGTGATAACGTGATCAAATTTTGTTTTAGCTTTCTTCTTTCATTATACATCTTATTTGTAGTGTTTAGTAGTGTCGAAAATATCAAACTGATACAAAGAGACTGTTTCACTACAACTAATTAATATTTCATTATCTAGTTTTTCATAGCGTATGACTTGATATTTTGAAATGATAAATTTATTGTTCTTCGTTGAAGGATTGTTACAAATGGGCCTTGAAATTTAAAAATATATCCTGCACCAAATGACTGTCAAGTTTTTGTTTGTATTTTCAATAGTCTTTGAGTACTCTTGCGTCAAATGTATTTTGTCGTGTTTTCTTTTTTGCGTTTCTATGGCTTCAAAGCTCCTATGTCCGAGTTCGGGGTACCTGTATCGTCTTAGACTGACAGCACTGTGCAAAAACCAGTCAAGTCCAGGACTTGACCAATTTATGCAAAGTATAACAGCATAGGCAACCAATTTTGCACTTCCGTTTCCACAACTTAAATGTTACAGAGCTGGTTCATGCAAAATTTAAAACTATTCAAGAATATAAACCCAAGTGATTTTGCTCAACTGCAATTGTCTATGTCGTTTATTTTCGAAGTAATGTTACTTCTGAACCTCCCGTTACCCCGCTCTTCAGTTGACAACAATAGACTCTACAGGCAAAGGAGGCCGCGTGCCTGCCCCATTCCTATCCTTCCTCCCTCACATCCAAGATGGAAATCTCCTGCCTGAACATGAATTCTTGGACCTATGGCACTGTGTACGGTAATTTCGACGAGCTTGTACGATCATTTCTTGCAACGAATCTGGCAACGCTGTTGCTGGCTTTCGCATCGCACCTTCCAGAGTGGCTTGAGGTCTTTGGGAACTTTATTTCTAGATCAATCCTCGTATATGCATTGGTATCGTCAACATACAGGAATACAATTACACAGTTTATAGGTACACACACAGTCAAGGAAGTGTAGCTTCGTTTTGGAGACATCTAGCACATTCAACATTTTTTAAAACGCTACCAACTATAATCGCAATTGTACATCCACCATTTTTAGAAAAACAGTATCAAACCTATGGTTATTTGTATTATTATTTCATACCATTGATCGCTCAAAATACGACCAGTTCACGGATAATATAAGTCAAATAGTTCAAACGCTTATGATATTCCTCAACTTCGTAAAAATTACAGTAGCCCTCGTTAAAGCGGTTGGAGAGCATTTTATATGCACATTTCATATCTATGTAGTTCCATTGTATCTTTCTTTACTTTTTTAGGAAGTGACGATTTCGATAGTAGGTACGGTAGAGAATACAAAATTGAAAGTATAATATGCAAGTCTTTGGCATATTATGTTTGCATAGATTTATCATTATGATTTTCATGCTTAGAGCCACTTTTTGAACAGTATTTGTTAACTGATATTTGTTAGAAAACTGCATTGACATAACTTTGTAAGTGGGCCAGCATGGAGGACCTATTTTGATCCTTCTAATACATATTCAAGAATGAGTAACTGTAAAAGTATCATATGGAGCTACAAGATATCAAAATATCAGTGAAAACAATATACTAGTAATTTAGAGAATCCAGTGTGCAGTTTCTAGCGGCCTATATTTTGACAGGATAGATTAAAACAACATTATTTTGTGTTCGAAAATTTTATATAAATGCAATATTCTTCTTCAGAAAGAGTAAAATCGATTAATTTACGTTTTTTGCTGTTTGTTTCACAGATGTGTGCCTTCTAATACCATAAAAATCTAAGTATCAAACAATTAGATTATGATTTTCGCAGGTATTCGAACATTTTATCTCTTCGTCCAAAATTATTTTTTAATGGAACACATTCATTTGTTCTTTGAACCTGCAACCGAAATATTTTATCCAAATTTTCTAGTTCGACTGGGCTATGAAATTTTATATTCTCTATCGCCAAACTTCATGGTTTCCGTGTAAAGCCTAGTTCATATAGACGGGAATTGGATTGCTGAAAATTTACACGTTTCATGCAGACGCGAATTTCGCAATAATTTCAGGAACATTTACTTTTATTTTTCGGTGGCATTCTGGGATGTTGGTAGGTATGGTTTGATTTGTTTGCTCGTTCTGTCACTCCCGTGGGTATTGTTATTAACCTATGACAATTTTGCGCAGGCAGAAATCGCAAGAGATTAGGGAGTTAATAACGTTAATGCCTGCCACTTTTACAGGATGCTTACAATCACGGCACAACAAAGACTATTTTTTTTGGGAATTACCTTACTTTTTGAAGTAGTTTTCGCAGATGAAATGCATTATATATTATATATATTCAAACCAAAAGGACTGACATTTACCTACAACGAGTTGCAAAACACGAAGACGTACAAAAACAATAGCAGAACTTTTTTAATCAATAAGATTATTAGAATTAAATCACCCTTGGTACACTTTTGAACAAGATAAAAGTTTATTTCATACCAATATTTTTAGGTTAGAAATTTTGTCATCCGTGCACGGAAATGCCAATACACCAATAATCACCCAATAACTCTAGTTCTGAAACAATTTTAAGAGTCATAATGGATGTCAGTATTCCCTATTAAAATATTTTTAAGATTCCCGCCTAGAATGAACATTTTACAAATTGCAAGGTAATTGAAATAAGAAAGCTGGCACTTGTCACGTCACTAAAATAACCACTAGGAGTATGGTTTGTTTTATTGGCAATCGCGATTTGAGTCTGTATAAACTAGGCGTAATGGAGTGAATGGGCATCCAGTTGAAGCATTCTCCCTCGGTGAGCACCTGGTTGTCACCCTGACCCCCACGGCCGACATATCTTCGGTTGCGGGGCTTCATAGACGATCCTAACCAGGATCTCGTTTTTCAGCCAAGGGCCAACGAACCGAATTCCTGATCCTATTATTTGGTCAACCAAACAGAACTAATTGAGAACGGGGAATGGTAGCACAAGTTACTGTAGTCACAGAAGGGCAAGGGACATCCTTCAAGCCATCTTGGTTATTCCAGAATGCACATAAATATAGGCAGCTGCTGCTACTGCTATATCCATTTCAGTTAGTATTCGTCTTTTACTGAACGACAAACATCAAAATTTAAGCGTCATTTTGTTGCGCGATGTGGTTGCACGACGTCGTTCGATTTGTGGTGATGCTCGTTGCAATGTTGTTCGTCAAAATGCGCGTGCTGCGGTTCGCGGTGTTGTTACATATCTGTACATGGCTTTACAATTTTTCGGCGTTATCGTTAATAATAATTCTACTTTTGAGTGGTGAAATTTTATCCTATAATGGTGGTAATTCGTTACTGAGGTTTTAGAGATAGTTTGAACTGTTTTATAATTATATGTTTATCAATGTCTCATTAAAAAGGTGAATTTGATTTGCTTTAAGTAACGCTTGGAAAAACGAGTGGAACGGTGCTTTCAGCAGCCCTGTGCCCATCGCAAAGCTTTAGTTAGATCCATCGATTCTTCTGAAGATATTATGTGAAATGTGGGGGGCTTGTACATCGCTAAATTTAGAACGATCGTAGTCCTTTTCAGCGGACTTAGAATCTAATAAACTGAATATTTCGTCATTGGCTCAAGTTCTTATACTAGGAAAATTGTTAGAATTAAATTACCTATACTGTTATTGACATTATTTAATATCAATAACATCAGTCGTGGTTTTATGCTAAAAAAAAATTACTGATACTAAAATACGTTAAACTAAATTGAACCTAGTTCGAAAACGCAAGGCATTGGTTGGCCTAGACCAGGGCTTAACAAAACCGATTCGGCGCCCCCGTGCAACAGTCCTGTGCGCCGTGCATCGTGTCGGCTCGGGTGCGGTCGGAGTTACTCGGTTGGACCGGGTAGAGTCCCGCCACTGTTGCCAGGTCTACCGATTTTTTGGTAGATCTACCGATTTTGGTGCTGGTCTACCGAACTACCGATTTTAAAGCAAAATCTACCGAAAAGTGGACTTTTCCTTCAATTGAATAATTTTTGTTCCCTATATAAGAGAAATATTTTTGATGCATAGCGATAAAAAGAATGAAAAAATTACTATTATTATTCGTACTAGACCAGATATATTTTTATTCTCTTTGCCTGACAGTGGTGTGTCACATACGCTGATTCTTCGCATCTGGGGAATCGCCGAAGATACTCGATGATTTCGCTACATCGCCTAGGCCTAGCGGCTCGTGACAAGTCCATGAATGTATCGTACGATTTGTATGATTTCGTGTACTTAGTAATTCCGAATTCGGCCAGTATTAGTATTGCCTGGCTTGCAGTCATTTTTTGTCATCTAGGTACAAGCTCCACACAATACTTACAACGTGTATTTCATGTAGGTTAATGGGACCTGAAATATAATTATACTATAGCAATACGAAGTAGCATATGAGCTTAGGTATGTGAATAATATAACTTTCATTAGTTTTATAGCATAGTGGCCTGTAGATATAGCAAGATGCTATATTTTTCATACAATCTTCAATGTATCATAATATAAAAGATTATTGACTACAAAGGAGTGCGTTTGCCAGCCATTTTTAGATAACAACGGATTGTTATCTATTGAAATGCAGCCCTTTGGCGTTAGTTGATCATTTGTACTTATTTGACAATTGGAAATGTACATTTCTCTTATTACACGGTGACTCAAGAAGCAATCGTTTATAGACCGCAATTATAGGAATCTAGCGATTTATTTTGATTACAATTTTATATCCATACTAATTGTCTATACTTTAGCGATTACTTAAAAACAGCACAATTCTGTGGTAAAATCGAAAAAACAGACTTTGAGTTAAAAAATTAAACCGCTGAATCTTCAAGCACCGAGGAAGGATATATGTACGTGTTCCAAAATATAATCTAGAATGTAGACTTGCTGTAGATAAGACTAAACACAGTATTATTTAGCAATATTCTTATGATTCGTTCATATTTTTAAAACAAAAACAATGTTGTACAGATAATAATTGCTTAGAATATAGGTGCCAAAAATGACACACGCCTATTAGATTATGAGAGAAGTAAAGTTTTATATACCTGAAACATTTTTAAATGGAATATATGTTATGAAAAATATACGTACAATGTAGATGGAACCTAAATATTTACAAAGCAATTTATGTAATATCTATTGTGTACTAAAGTATAATTATTATATTTATAAATGTTTCGAAAGATTCGGATGACCAGACAGCCATTTGGTCATCTGCGAAGATTATTGTAAGTGGTGTTGAAAATTATATCGTTGATTTTAAAAAGAAGCCGCTTGTAACAGCCATTACTAGTAGCTCGATGTTGGATATTGTTTCGTTGTAATATAAAGGTTTTATTTATTTCTAATGGACTCTTATTTCTACCGGGTGTCTCAAATTCGACCATCACCATTAGGATCTTGGAAACGGTGAGAGATACGAAGTCGCTTAAACGGGGACAAAGTTGCGTGTTAAGGTAACACAAAATGCTGTTCAGAAACTTAAAGTACTTTCGGAGCTAGACGGGAAAATTGGAGATTGACATTGTCACTTTTTCTCCTCTACAAGATGGTATAATTAGAATTTCAATATGACGTTTTGTCTCTTGTACTTCAGCATCAACTTTATTTTTTCTTATAGCTGCCATATTGGATTTTTGCACAAATAAATGCAGTTTATAAGTCTGATTCCAAAAATGTATGTCATATAATGTCAATGCCAAGCCTTAGTAATTTCAGAAAAAAATAACTTCCTAGGTAATACAGGTGTTGAGATTATCAGATGGCCCTTTGTTTCGTATACCAGACCAGACCTCAAATTGAATATACAGGGTCCGCAAAGTTACACGACGTGTAGATCTTGAAAACATAAGCGATTTTTCTTAGTACCATGTACACCAATGTCTTAAGAGAACCGAGATAAAGGGCTCTGCAACATCAAAAATATCTGAATACCGTCCTGTAGCCGCGACCCGCGACATCACCGAGTGGTACAAGGTCACTGGCTTAACCCGACGACAGAACTGGGTCGGGGTCAGTGTGTCAGGTCAGTATGCAACCTTCAACCGACGGTTACGGTCACGCGTATAGAGGTAAACGAACCCGTATAATCAATTGCATTTCAAAAAAAAATAATAATAATGGCACACTCATACACCAATAATGAACTCGTTGATATGTTGTTAATTTATGGCGAATGTCTTCAAAATGCTACAGAAGCTGCGCGAGTGTATGCAGATCGTTTCCCTAGACGACATCATCCGAGACCCCGCAGATTTGTGTACCTGGTCCAGAGAGTCAGGGATACGGGCCATTTGGAGGATTTTCGAGGTGGGCACAGTGGGAGGCCTAGACAACCACGAATGGTACAAGTTGAGGAAGAACTACTGAATCGCATAGACGAGAATCCCTCAACAAGCACTAGAGACGTGGCTAGAGAAGTGCAAGTATCAAAAACTAAAGTGTGGCAAACGCTGCGTGAAGAGGGGCTGTATCCGTTTCACGTCTAACGTGTACAAGCCCTTCAACCTGACGATTTTCCAGCAAGAGTGCGGTTTTGTGAGTGGTTGTTGCATCAACATGACAATAATCCGGACTTTTTGAAGTGCATATTGGTGAAAGACGAATCTACGTTCACGCGTAATGGGGTGAATAACTTTCGCAACACTCATGTTTGGTCAGTAGGAAATCCGCACGCTGTCCGTCGGGCACATTTTCAATATTTTCGGTGAATGTTTGGGCTGGCATGGTGAACGGTATGCTCATTGGACCATTTATTCTCCCAAATCGATTGGACGGGATGCAATACCTAGACTTTTTACGCAACATTTTGCCTTCCTTGTTAGAAGATGTGCCATTAAGTGTAAGACAATCAGTGTGGTTTCTGCACGATGGTGCACCGCCCCATTTTAGACGCGAAGTGCGTGAGTTTTTGAATGAATTATTTCCGAATAGGTGGATCGGACGTAATGGACCCGTAGCGTGGCCTCCGCGATCTCCAGACTTAACACCATGTGATTTTTTTCTTTGGGGAGAAATGAAACGCTTAGTGTACAAAACTGAAGTGCATACGGTTGACGAACTTCGTCTCAGAATTGAACAAGCTGGTGCTTTCATTCGGGGGAGGGACTCCATTCTCAAAGCCTGCACCGATGCTTGGCTACGTCGTGCACGCACCTGTGTTTTTTAATCAAACGGCGATAACTTCGAACAATACCTATAAAGTACGTTTACCTACAAAATGAAAACGCGGCAACGCCGTCATATTTGTTACCTCTGTTCGTGGTCTGCACCACCGCCTGCGTCTGCTCGGTAGCGCATCAGCTGATTTCATTTTCTGTTGGAGCGGTATGATTTCGGGCAGAGACGTACTTAGCCCTTCTCGTCAACTGGAGAGTGAGTACTTTTTCCTTTATTTTTTTTACTTGGTCGCCCTCGTTTCACTACACATTACCTTTGTTATTTCAAGGGTAGTTGTTTCTGAAAAGGACAACCCCAACTTTGCAGACACCCTGTATTGTTTGGAAGAGTGATAAATAACGGAAATAACCAAGCAGTGAACAATGTACAGAGAAGGGTCAGGCCCCAGAATAGCATACAATGTTTTGAGCATCTAAGATGATTTATCTCTGCTCATTTATTATTATTATTAATATTATTACCATCAAAGCATTCATACCTTTTTATTTCTTTATAATTTTCGTTCCAACAACAAATTCATGGCCAACTAATGAAACATTTAGGACGGAACACTCCATTTAAACTACTACCGCCCATATGGAAAAACAAAGATGGTGCTGGAAGTGGAAATAAGAAACATATCGAATTGAAAATTTGACTACGCCATCTTGTAGTGACTATGACATGTAATTTACTTAGAAATCCTATCTCAAGTGAAGTCAGGAAAAATAAAAGATGATTCTGCAATAAGAAATTCTATTTGTTTGAAATAATAATAAGGTTTGGTGATGTTTGGAACCAGAATTTAAAACTTTATTTACCTGTACAAAATTTAATATGTTGTCCATAAGAATAAAAACAGTTGTTGCTTTTCAATTTTCGATGAGTGGAGGTAAACCTTGATAAAGGAACAAAGTGTTTGAGCTCCTAATGTTTTTGAATATGCCCTAACCTGAAACGGTGAGAAACGATGTAGATAATTTTGGAAATTTTATTTCTTTATAATTTTCGTTCCAACAACAAATTCATGGCCACCTAATGAAACATTTAGGACGGAACACTCCGTTTAATCTACCACCGTCCATATGGAAAAACAACGATGCTGGTGGAAGTGTAAATAAAAAACATATCGAATTGAAAAGTTGACTACGCTATCTTGTAGAGGGGAAAAGTGACTATGACATGAAATTTACTTAGAAATTCCATCTCAAGTGAAGTCAGGAAAAATAAAAAATGATTCTGCGATAAATGTGGTATACGAAACATTTATAACAATGACTATTCGATAAATTGAAGGCCTACCAAAGAAATTATCTTTGTTTGGAATAATAATAAGGTTTGGTGATGTTTGGAATCAGAATTTAAAACTTTATTTACCTGTACAAAATCCAATGTGTTGTCCATAAGAAGAAATATAGTTGGTGCTTTTTAATTTTCGATGAGTGGAGGTAAGCCTTGATAAAGGAACAAAATGTTTTTGAATATGCCCTAACCTGGAGTAGTGAGAAACGATTGAGAATATTTTAGAAATTGCAAAAAATTATGATCTCTCCACAAAGATGTTAAAATTTAGAACGATTTTCAAAAAATAAGTTGTATTACCTATTATTACCTCACAGATCTACGTCTTGTAAACATCCTAGAACAAATATTCATCTGAATTTCTAAAAATTTCGCATTCTCAGAACTGACCCCGCTGGCCCTGAAAGACTCTGCTCCACCTCGATCTTCAAAAATTGTTGGTATGTACTCTTTTGCAGAAAGTTATTTCTTGCCGTTAATCCATGCTCCATGGCTCAGAAAACGGCGGGAGCCCATGGCCAATACGTTTTTGGTAGGTATTATAACAGATTTTGGATGTTTGATGATTCATACGAGCATCATTCAATGCAAGCGTTTATGTTTCTTTTGTAAAAAGCAATTCAGATTTTACGCTGCATTTGGGACTACATGGGGTCACCCTACTAATCTGGGGCCTCCGAGGAGCACGCTACGCCACTGGTGGTTTGTTGGACGTTTTAGTCTCCACCAAAAATGCTGAGGGCAAGTTTATAAATTAACATCAACAAATGTTCCAATTGGTAAAAGTTTCAATAATGCTAATGTAGCACTTCGGTCTTGCCTTATCTATTATTAATAACTTCAATTACAGATACTGAAAGCTTACTTTTCGCGTCAACCTCGATTCAAACAAAAATGGACAAGTACACCAAAAATCTATATTGTTTAGGGTCAGTCCAAGGCCTTGCGCCTCTGTACAATTTCGGAAAAGGTGAACTGGTATCCACGAAGTTTATGATCACTTGGCTGACGCTGGTATTTTTCTTCAAGGTGGTGTTACAAACAGGATTCGTGTTATACTACCAGTCAGAAAAGCCTGATAACAAATTCATATACTTTGTAAATGTAGCAAGTTACGTGACATACTATACACCGCCATTGTTGATGCCAATTTTGTCCGGGATTTTCAAGAAAAGGTGGGTCTTGCTTTTGGCTGAGTTGAATCATTTGGAACATGAAATACCGTCAAGCAAATCAGAAGCCGTGCACCTAAGTTTCGCCTTTTTTCAACTATCTGTAGTTGTCGGGCAAGCAATTTACCACAATTTTTTTGAAGAGCAACACGGAAGACCCGGAGGTGTTTTGCACACTATATGGGAAATACTTTACGACGACTTTGAGGAAATCACTTGGATTTTGATGGCTATTTCATTAACGAATTACGTTGCAATCGTTAGAAGCAAATACGGAGTAATCATCAATCATTTGACCCAAGCTATGCAGGAAGCTGAAGAAGCTAAATTCATGAGTTCTTTGGTTAACGTAACTGCAATTGCTAACATAAGAAGGATAAAGTTGCTATGTCAGATCAACGCTAGCGTAGTAAGGAATTTGAATATCCTGTATGGAGCGCCGATAGGAGTTTTGTTGACATACTTCATTTTGGATGTCGTATCGATTTTAGATCATCTTGTGTTTGCGAATGGAATTCGAAACTATGTCACTATTTCCGAAATGCTGACGGTTACAGTAAGTTGCCTTTATTTTTTATCTGCCACTCTTTCATATTCGAAATTGTTATATTCTGCTTTACAAACTTACATCATCATACAGGGTGTAAACGTTATGATAGTCATTATTTAAATGGGTCATAGAGGGGGCTGAAAGAAGCAAAAAGTTTCACACCTGGTGTGTGAAAGTTTATTGAACGGCTTAAAAAAATCCACTTATAAATAGAGAACACAATTTTCATACACTATTTTGTATTTAAAGAAGGTGTTCAAAATGTCGTTCTACACTTTCCACACAAGCTTCATTACGACGGACCCAGTTTCTTCTTAGTCTAGGTTCTCGAAGTTGTCCATTTATTATTTCAGCAGCATTAAATTTTTTTTCGCGAAGTTGTGATTCAGTTGTTATTGGACCAGTCCCATAAACCCTCCTCTAAGTTCTCTCCAATACCAGAAATCCATCGGATTGAGGTCAGGAGATCTTGCTGGCCATTTTCGAGGATCAGGAGCATTTCGACCGATCCAGCGATTTGGATAATGTTCATTCAAATACTGAATTAATGTTAACAATTCCCAGTAATTTCCTCTATTGTCAGAGTCATCCCCTTCAAAACGATCCCGAAACTGTAATTCTTGTTTGGCTAAAAAACATACAGCATCTACAGTATATTCAGATAAGAGATAGACCGGACATAAACAAGACCACGTGATCATCGAACGCTGTAACATTCGGCAGGGACGTATTAAGAGTCACGCAGTACATATTTTAGATAGTAGACTGCTTTGCATAACTTTGTAGTAAATTAGCACAATTCGATGTGTATACGATTGGTGATGGATATAGGATCATGTGGGGGTGGGGTAAGAAATATATAATGATGTACATAAGGGTTTCAAAATTTTCGCTTCGATTTCCAGCTTCGGATGCCGCCTGATGTTTGGTGAAATACAGTCGAATATAATCTCAAAATGGCGTTTAAATTAGCCTAAATTAAAAATAATCGTATATCTCTTAAAATTGCTTTTAGAATATTGATTAGTATATTTTTTGATTTCTAGGTAAATATGTAACCAAATTAAAACGTTCAAAACGTAAAAAATGTGCATGGTTGAACATTGTCAGAAAGTAGATTCTTGAATAGGTTTTGCCAAAATGGGTTCAAAAATGTCAATAATTAATTAAAAAATACAGTAGCTTTATAATTACTTATAACTTACCGAATTTGATGAACGACATCTTTTATTAGAAAGATGAGCTTGATGAGCTTTCATCATCGCTACTGCCTAAAGCACCAACGTTAATAATGAATGGCTCGACTTGTTCCTCTAAAATATTGTCCAGTTCCCACATTCTCTTTTCAACTTTGTCTTTCACGTGCTTAATACAGTTTTCCCATTTTTGCGCTGTTATTAATTCTAGTGCTTCTTTGAAAAGTCCTTTGAGGTCACAAAATTTAAAAGTTGTATTGTGCTTAGCTATATAATTTTTAACCTCTGCCCATATGAGCTCAATGGGATTGAGCTCGCAATGGTATGGAGGTAAACGGAGCACAGTTTTATTTTGACTTGCTGCCATTTCGTCAATGGCGTATTTTTGATATTCCGCCTTGTGATCCTTGACAATTCTTAATAATTGTACTTTCAGCATTGCTTCTTCAAAGTTGATATTTTTCGAGCGGAGCCAATTTTGAACATCAACTTTCCTTGAAGCCGTTGTTGGGACCTTCTCCATTCTTCGAGAATGATAAGGCGCATTATCCAACACAATTACTGCGTTTTCCTCTAAGTTCGGTAAAATTTTTGAAAACCACTGTTCAAACGATTCGCCATTGATTTCCTCGTGGTAATCTCCAGTTTTCTTACACTCAAAGCACCACAGACCGTCAACAACAAATCCATCCTCACTGCCAATATGGCAGATAATGAGCCTTTTCCCTTTACCTGGAAATCGAAGTACTAACTGGTGTAGATTTATTTCAATAAGCGAACCTTTTTCAAATGTTTTCATCACATTCAGCGAAAAAACATTGAGACATGAGTATCAAATTGCTATAATTGGGATTATTTAGTCATATTGAAAGAAAGAATATTGAACGTCGTATGATTACTCAGCGCTTCACAATTTAATTTAAAGTTATAAACCTTTAAAAAATGAATGATCAGGAACCTGAAATACGCGCAAATATTAATATTAACAAATTATAACTTTATAAAGCTTAAAGTATGAATTAAAATGATTAGAAATATTAGGAACGGTACACAATATAAAACTTAGTAACTTTTTTTAAGTTTATAATATTCGACATATTTTAAGATTATATTAAAAAATTATTGAAATATCGAAAACACATAAAAACATGGCTTAAAAAAGTTCTAACAAATGAAAATGACAATAAAACATCCACGCATTTTATCGAAAGTTATAAAAGTTTTGTTACTTGTAATATGTTTTATCTGCCCCCTGGAATTAATGTTTAGAACCTTGTTCCCAAGGTTTGAAAAACATCCGATTGTTGTCTATTACTCGTATTTACCTGCTGGATTTTTTAATCCGGTGGACAGTCCATCTAGAAAGGCCCTCCTGGATGAAGTTACAGAATCATCAACCCATACTTTACTTGTAGTGTGTCCTGCGTTTACCCACGTTTCATCAAGGTAATAAATCTTCCTGTTTTGATTTCTATATTTCCCAATTTTTGTTAAATAATCCCTCCTCCATAGCACAATTTCTTCTCTATCCAGTAGTAAACTATTACGACCCCGTTTTTCCATTTGAAATTTAAATGCTTCAGTAACGCATGGAAAGTTGATCGTTTGAAATTTGGCAACGTTGTATCTCCATTTACCTCCTGCAGTACTTTATCTATAGTAGGTATTTCATTACTAAAGAAGAATTCATGCACTTTCCTCCTAATCGCATGCTTATCAGCTTCATCCAATGATTTAACAATACTTTTGCGATGTTTACTGGTCATTGGCTCAGAAAAGGTGTGATTTTTTTTGTATTGTCTTAACACATTGAACACTGATGCGCGACACATCCCAACTTTGTGAGAAACCTTCACAACAATTTCTTTGATGGTTGATGCCTCGTTCTCCTCGCGCTCTATCTTATATATATTCAAAATGACCTCTTTCATTTCTGCACTCAGGTGTCTTTTTTTAGAGCGTTTCCTAGGTGGACTACAGGAGTTTACAACTTCATCGGCAGTATCTGTACTACTGGGCATTTTGCGCAAGCAGTTGATAACAATAACAATCAATAACAAGGTATAACAATAACAACGACAAACTCAACAACTTAATAAGATAACAAACGAAAACGTCCAAAGAAATATCAAATTGCAATGATGCACACGACATACGTAACACGTCTGAACCTGAATGTGACTCTGCCTTGATACGACTGCTCTGCCGCTCGGCATAGGCATTTCATTGCGAAGTGACCAATGAGGGCTCCTGTTTTACGTCGAGACGGCGGCGTTAGCGTGAAAATCACCCGAACCTTTTGTTTACATCCGGTCTATCTCTTATCTGAATATACTGTATAAGTGTGCTGCCTAAAATCTTGTTTTGCCAAATTGAATCAAATTGGCTACACATCTCACATGTAAAGGAGAAATTTCATGTCTCCTCTTCAGAACCCTAAAACAGAAGAATACAATCTGTTTTTCTTGCAACCACAGAACCAAGAGTTTTCAATGTACCAACTAAATTTAATATATCGAACCACTTTTTTTATTCCTTTTTAAAATTATCTAAAATAAGTTGGTATTCCATTTTCAATGATCTCAACGATTACTAACGAGGGAGAAGTGAGTAACCAAAACAAAAAATGGTAACAAGCCTACAAAATAATCGCGGCGGCCCAAGCACTTGGGCGACCGCGATCAGACACGAACCGGCGCCGACTGTCCCCGACGGACTACCAAGTGTATCCATACGCGAAAATGGTAACAACCAAGTCGAGGCGAGTCGGCTTCATCGCGTTCGCTAAATCTAGACAGTATTATGCAGTATGACATGGTACATTATCGCAGTGAAGGAACCAATAGCCGTTTCAGACGAATAGCTTTACGCAAAAGACGCATAACGCTCAAATAATATTCTTTGTTGACAGTTTGGCCCGGCGGAAGGAATTCATAGTGCATCACTCTACGATAATCAAAGAAAACTGTCAACATGACCTTGATTTTCGATCGACTTTGCCGTGGTCTTTTATGTCTTGCTTCACTTTTTACAGGCTATTCCCTGGATTGGTCGGTGGTTTAAGGGTCGTATGCGTAAATCCAAGTCTCGTCTTCAGTAACGATGCATTTCGAATGGTCCTGTTAGTCAGAGAGCATCAACATCAGCATCAACGCGACGCTGTTTTTCCTAAAAACATGAGCGATTTTGGCACCAATCGAGACTTGACGCGTTTGAGACACAAAACATCCTTCACAATGGTTTGGGCTGAGCCAAATGATATTCAAACACTATTAGCGAGGTCTCTAATTGTTAATCGACGATTGTTGAGCACCAAATCTTTGATTTGTTGGACGTGGTCCTCGTCGGTAGACGTTGATATTCGTCCAGAGCGCGGTTCGTCTTCAACGCGTTCTCGGCCCGCTTTGGACTCGTTGTACCACATACAAACGATTTTTTGGGCCACAGTTTGATCACCAAAGGCCTTCCGTAACATGTTCAAGATGCCCGCACAAAAATATCCGTTCAGCAAACAAAATTTGATCCAAGTCCTTTGTTCAACAAAATCACCCATTGTAAAAATCGAAAAATTCACATTTGGGTGTTAACAAAAACGCGTATAACTCGGAGGTAATTAAAACTCTTGACAAACAGACGCTTGTCAAATGTTACAGAAGATCCTACCAACCCAGGAAAAAAGAATTTACCTAACTTCCTAATGCCGGGAGTTTTAAATGGCAATTCAACCTTACTTTTCGATCACTAGTATATACAGGGTGTCCGCAAAGTTGGGGTTGTCGTTTTCAGAAACAACTACCCTTGAAATAACAA